CACATAAACATTAGTACGCTATTTATACAGATACAACTAATAGGGAAATCTTAAAATTAAATATACATTAGTTGAAACAAAAGCACAAATATTTTGCCTATCCCCAAAATATTTCAATTTATTTCAATTTCCTAAGTTATTTCAAATAAAAAAGTACCGACAAGTGAAGCTAAATATATAATATTACAACAAAATAAATGCCAACATTCAAAAAGTATCAAATACCTCTTTTTTGTCTATTGTACTCAAAATTTCGTTGATTGTAAAACATGAAATTTCTCTCTGTGTTTTACAAAGCACAGGCATTTGTTGTAAAGCTTTCTTACATTAAAAGATTAAAGGCAAAGGAAGTACTTAAATAGCTAGAAGCTTTTTAGCTGTTGCAATAGTGAATTCACGAATCTTCTAATGTACAAACCGTTATTTTTTAGTCAAAATAAGTTTTGGTACTAAAGCTTTTTAACGATACCTTGGGCTTAGAAAGAAAATTAACGGTGAAGGAGAGAAGGAAGCTTTTTAGAGGTTTTAGTAGTAAATTAACGAATATAAATATTTTTGTTCTTGAATTTTATGAAAAAATTTCAATGAATTAATGAACACTTGACCAAAGATTAGACTAGACTATGGTCTGTCTATAGACTAGACTATAGACTAGATTATAGACCTGACTATAGACTAGACTGTAGACAGACTAGACTATAGACTAGACTAGACTATAGACAGACTAAACTATAGACTAGACTAGACTATATATTAGACTAGACTATAGACTAGACTAGACGGGACTATAGATTAGACTAGACTAGACTATAGATTAGACTAGACTATAGACTAGACTAGACTATATATTAGACTATAGACTAGACTAGACTATATATTAGACTATAGACTAGACTAGACTATATATTAGACTATAGACTAGACTATAGACTAGACTATGGACTAGACTATAGACTAGACTATAGACTAGACTATAGACTAGACTATAGACTAGACTATAGACTAGACTATAGACTAGACTAGACTATAGACTAGACTAGACTATAGACTAGACTAGACTAGACTAGACTAGACTAGACTAGACTAGACTAGACTAGACTAGACTATAGACTAGACTATAGACTGGACTATAGACTAGACTATAGACTAGACTATAGACTAGACTATAGACTAGACTATAGACTAGACTATAGACTAAACTATAGACTAGACTATAGACTAGACTATAGACTAGACTATAGACTAGACTATAGACTAGACTAGACTAGACTAGACTAGACTATAGACTAGACTATAGACTAGACTATAGACTAGACTATAGACTAGACTATAGACTAGACTATAGACTAGACTATAGACTAGACTATAGACTAGACTGTAGACTAGACTATAGACTAGACTATAGACTAGACTATAGACTAGACTATAGACTAGACTATAGACTAGACTATAGACTAGACTATAGACTAGACTATAGACTAGACTATAGACTAGACTATAGACTAGACTATAGACTAGACTATAGACTAGACTATAGACTAGACTATAGACTAGACTATAGACTAGACTATAGACTAGACTATAGACTAGACTATAGACTAGACTATAGACTAGACTATAGACTAGACTATAGACTAGACTATAGACTAGACTATAGACTAGACTATAGACTAGACTATAGACTAGACTATAGACTAGACTATAGACTAGACTATAGACTAGACTATAGACTAGACTATAGACTAGACTATAGACTAGACTATAGACTAGACTATAGACTAGACTATAGACTAGACTATAGACTAGACTATAGACTAGACTATAGACTAGACTATAGACTAGACTATAGACTAGACTATAGACTAGACTATAGACTAGACTATAGACTAGACTATAGACTAGACTATAGACTAGACTATAGACTAGACTATAGACTAGACTATAGACTAGACTATAGACTAGACTATAGACTAGACTATAGACTAGACTATAGACTAGACTATAGACTAGACTATAGACTAGACTATAGACTAGACTATAGACTAGACTATAGACTAGACTATAGACTAGACTATAGACTAGACTATAGACTAGACTATAGACTAGACTATAGACTAGACTATAGACTAGACTATAGACTAGACTATAGACTAGACTATAGACTAGACTATAGACTAGACTATAGACTAGACTATAGACTAGACTATAGACTAGACTATAGACTAGACTATAGACTAGACTATAGACTATAGACTAGATAGACTAGACTATAGACTAGACTATAGACTAGACTATAGACTAGACTATAGACTAGACTATAGACTAGACTATAGGACTAGGACTATAGACTAGACTATAGACTAGACTATAGACTAGACTATAGACTAGACTATAGACTAGACTATAGACTAGACTATAGACTAGACTATAGACTAGACTATAGACTAGACTATAGACTAGACTATAGACTAGACTATAGACTAGACTATAGACTAGACCTATAGGACTAGACTATAGACTAGACTATAGACTAGACTATAGACTAGACTATAGACTAGACTATAGACTAGACTATAGACTAGACTATAGACTAGACTATAGACTAGACTATAGACTAGACTATAGACTAGACTATAGACTAGACTTAGACTAGACTATAGACTAGACTATAGACTAGACTATAGACTAGACTATAGACTAGACTATAGACTAGACTATAGACTAGACTATAGACTAGACTATAGACTAGACTATAGACTAGACTATAGACTAGACTATAGACTAGACTATAGACTAGACTATAGACTAGACTATAGACTAGACTATAGACTAGACTATAGACTAGACTATAGACTAGACTATAGACTAGACTATAGACTCGACTATAGACTAGACTATAGACTAGACTATAGACTAGACTATAGACTAGACTATAGACTAGACATAGAACTAGACTATAGACTAGACTATAGACTAGACTATAGACTAGACTATAGACTAGACTATAGACTAGACTATAGACTAGACTATAGACCTAGACTAGAGACTAGACTATAGACTAGACTATAGACTAGACTATAGACTAGACTATAGACTAGACTATAGACTAGACTATAGACTAGACTATAGACTAGACTATAGACTAGACTATAGACTAGACTATAGAACTAGCACTATAGACTAGATATAACTAGACTATAGACTAGACTATAGACTAGAACTATAGACTAGACTATAGACTAGACTATAGACTAGACTATAGGACTAGACTATAGACTAGACTATAGACTAGACTAATAGACTAAGACTATAGACTAGACTATAGACTAGACTATAGACTAGACTATAGACTAGACTATAGACTAGACTATAGACTAGATCTAGGACTATAGACTAGACTATAGAATAGACTATAGACTAGACTATAGACTAGACTATAGACTAGACTATAGACTAGACTATAGACTAGACTATAGACTAGACTATAGACTAGACTATAGACTAGACTATAGACTAGACTATAGACTAGACTATAGACTAGACTATAGACTAGACTATAGACTAGACTATAGACTAGACTATAGACTAGACTATAGACTAGACTATAGACTAGACTATAGACTAGACTATAGACTAGACTATAGACTAGACTATAGACTAGACTATAGACTAGACTATAGACTAGACTATAGACTAGACTATAGACTAGACTATAGACTAGACTATAGACTAGACTATAGACTAGACTATAGACTAGACTATAGACTAGACTATAGACTAGACTATAGACTAGACTATAGACTAGACTATACTTTAGTCTATAGACTAGACTATAGACTAGACTATAGACTAGACTATAGACTAGACTATAGACTAGACTATAGACTAGACTATAGACTAGACTATAGACTAGACTATAGACTAGACAATAGACTAGACTATAGACTAGACTATAGACTAGACTGTAAACTAGACTATAAACTAGACTACACTATAGACTAGACTACAGATTAGACTATAGACTATACTATAGATTAGACTATAAATTAGATTATAGACTAGACTATTTACTATACTATAGACCATAGTCAAGGTTATATTGTACTATATAGACTTTAGTAAGTTATGTAGGCATTTTGGTATTCATTTCCACAGGAATCTACATATATTCATATGTATCTATTAGGGTGATCGACTCGGATTTTCAACCGGTTTTAAAACCGGTTTTTTCTGTTATACCAGTGTCGGTTTTTTCTAAATGTTGATTTTTCGAATATCGAACAACAAGGTTTTTCTACATTTTAAAAACCGGTTTCGAATACTTTTAATTTGCTTTGTATTCAAAGATTACTTAAGTTAAATTTTGAAGTAAATAAAAATACAGCCCGTCTATATATTAAAAATATTGGAGTCCAGGAATTAGAGTATATTTTTCTAATGTACCTTTGGTTAAACTTTTTTGATTTTCCTAATTAATTAACAATTGTTATTTGTAAAGTTTATTGGAATAACAGTTTGATAAAATTTTATCAATCTTAAGATTATATTTCAATTACAATAATAAATTTGCGGCTAAAATATTATGGAAGTGTTGGAATGACTATGAAAATTGTCTAAATAGGGATTTTAGAATAAGCTAGAATTACATAGTTCCTTATGTTCAACAGAAGTGTTCAACTTTTTTCCATTTTTTACATTAAAGAAATAAAGTAAATCAGACGACTAGATCTAAAGTTATAATCTTTTAAACTGTTAAAAAACAGTTAAGTCCTGTTTTATTAATTAAATTTAAACATAAACGTCTATTTTTTCAAATTAAAGTAGATTTTGTTATATATAATGAAAAACCGGTTAACCGGTTTTTTCTGGATTTGAAAAATGTCAACCGGTTTTTTTCAAATGTCAACTATTCGAACTATTCGAAAACCGGTTTTTGGAAAATGTCGAATAATCGATCACCCTAGTATCTATTAATATATGAAAGTCTTTTTTATTTTTGTATAAATATTTTAATTTTTATTTAATAAATATTATTGTTAAATATTACTTTGAAAATCTAATATTTATTACACTTGCTATTTTAAAAATCCTTTTAAAAGATTCATTAAGGTATTGGTTTTGACTAGAAATGTTTCAAAAGAATTTAAACTTTCAACTTACACATAAAACAGAAAAAATATTTTTTTAAAAATATTAATAAAATTATGCTGATTTTAAAATACATTTAACCTTAAAACTAATGGTGTTACAAAGAGTCTTTAGGGCGGCGGAGTCTTTAAAACTTTCTTCTTAGACTTACATATTAAAGATTATAAAGATTCATAAAAAAAATCTGGAATGTAGTCATTTGGTCCATTAGAGCAAGAGTTTACTGAAGGGGAAGCATGAGATTTTTGTAGAAAGTTACATTTTAAAATCTAGTAATTTTACTGCTTTCGGGAGTGTCTTCATCATCTTCTAGAGATGATTGTTCGGATTGATTGGGAGAGCCACGTTGTACACGAGTAGTGCCTTGTCTATTGGGACCAATGTGAGCATTTGCTTGACGTAAATTGGCAAAGAATTGTTGACGACGGGGACCACTGCCGCGTATGGGCAAAGTGGGTATTTCACTGGGTGTTTGATTGTGATGTTCGTCCTGGGTCATGTTGCGCATGGCAGGATTGACACATTCATAGACACTCTGGGGGAAGAGAGAGGGAAATAGTTGTTTTATTGAGGTGAAGTAAAAGAGAAGTTTTTAAAACCAATTACCTGCTCCGATGAGTATTGATTATTTTGCGCAAACGCCAGTGATGTTAAAGAGGGCAAGGCCTGGGCTATATCCGATCTCTCAATGCCTCTTACTATAAGAAATGTTCTGGGTATTAATATACCCACGAGTATAGCCCAACCAGAAGCTTGTAGACCCAAAGGTAAAGCAGCATCACGCATGTCGTCCCCAAACATGGAAAGCGAAATAAAAACGATCCATATTATAAACATTAAAACTGAACCGATGACTATCAAAATGCCCTCACGATAATTACGCTGAGAACGATAGATAAACGGCACCAAAGCAATTATACTCAAAAGGAGCAGCATGTCATAGGACAACAAACCCAATAGCCAATGACCATAGTACATATTTTCACAGGAAACCTTATCGGAGGCAATGTGCATAACCACCAACAGCTGTATGGACATGACTAGCTGGACCATAATGCTAAACACACATATGACTGCTTGGATATAACCATTAACATGCGATAGGAAACCACCCTCAGAGCCAATAGAAGCCAACATAACGGCACGACACAGCAAAAGAGAGAAGACAAAACAGTAAACTAAAGTCAAGATGAAAATTCTCACCGCACACAAAGTGTTTAAAGTGGCAGCATCTTCAAAGGTTACATGTGAATTGCGATGCTCGCCCACATACTCCAGGGAGAAGGGTATAAACGAGGTAAACATTAACAGCAAAGAGAGTAAAAGCAATATGGAAGTTACTGGATTTCCCTCGAAGACATCACCCAAAGAAATACGCACTACAATAAATACCAAAATGGCCAATGTACAAAGTATGCCCAGAATAGCAGCTGTCATGCCGGTGGCCACCCAGGTGTCCGGCTTAATTCTCCAAAACATTACCGATTCACCATCAAACAGAAAAGGGTAACGTGAATTATCCCCTCCCGCCGTATACTGACAATTGAAAACATGACCAAACTTGGTCTTCAATTCCACACTAGTCTGATTGTCTCGATTGTAGTGGTAGTAAGTGGTGATATTGGTAACAAAATTTTGACTGGCAATTTCACGTAAATTCGTTATTTTCTCCTCAAACTCTATGGGACCGGGTGGTGCTCCAGGTCTTGTCTCATCTACAAATTTTTGAAACATTTGAAAATTCATCAAGGTAGCAAGTTTGCGCATGCTCAAGAGATCCAGCAGTTCAGCTGTATCATGATTTATCAAATTATAATCGGGCTTTTCCCAATCCTCAATGAAGGTTAGAAAATCATTACAAGTTTCTAAGACGAAAAAATCATCTATACGTTTGCAATTCTTTTGCATCGAAGATTTCAACCAGCGAGATAATTCCAATATGGGTCTGGCAAAGGCTAAAACACGTGAGGGTAAAATTGTTTTTCCTATCAGCGGTTCATCCAGTGTTACTTGTGTGGCATTCTTATCCACCAGGTGAACATCGATTTCGTTTTCCATTAATATAAAGGATTTATTGGGCAAATCTGAAAGGGAAGAGAGAAGGCGAGAGAAAATAATTGTTAAAAAATGGGAAATTAAAAGGATAAGGAATTACAGATAAGACTACAACCCAGGCTATAGAACCAGATTAGACTATAAACTAGACTATAGACTAGATTATAGACTAGACTATAGACTAGACTATAGACTAGACTATAGACTAGACTATAGACTAGACTAAAGACTAGACTATAGACTAGACTATAGACTAGACTATAGACTAGACTAGACTAGACTATAGACTAGACTATAGACTAGACTATTAGACAAGACTAATACTAGACTATAGACCTAGACATAGACTAGACTATAGACTAGACTAGACTAACTAGAGACTAGACTTATAGACTAGACCTATAGACTAGACTATAGACTAGACTATAGACTAGACTATAGACTAGACTATAGACTAGACTATAGACTAGACTATAGACGAGACTATAGACTAGACTATAGACTAGACTATAGACTAGACTATAGACTAGACTATAGACTAGACTATAGACTAGACTATAGACTAGACTATAGACTAGACTATAGACTAGACTATAGACTAGACTATAGACTAGACTATATACTAGACTATAGACTAGACTATAGACTAGACTATAGACTAGACTATAGACTAGACTATAGACTAGACTAAGACTATAGACTAGACTATAGACTAGACTAGAACTAGACTATAGACTAGACTATAGACTAGACTATAGACTAGACTATAGACTAGACTATAGACTAGACTATAGACTAGACTATAGACTAGACTATAGACTAGACTATAGACTAGACTATAGACTAGACTATAGACTAGACTATAGACTAGACTATAGACTAGACTATAGACTAGACTATAGACTAGACTATAGACTAGACTATAGACTAGACTATAGACTAGACTATAGACTAGACTATAGACTAGACTATAGACTCGACTATAGACTAGACTATAGACTAGACTATAGACTAGACTATAGACTAGACTATAGACTAGACTATAGACTAGACTATAGACTAGACTATAGACTAGACTATAGACTAGACTATAGACTAGACTATAGACTAGACTATAGACTAGACTATAGACTAGACTATAGACTAGACTATAGACTAGACTATAGACTAGACTATAGACTAGACTATAGACTAGACTATAGACTAGACTATAGACTAGACTAGACTATAGACTAGACTATAGACTAGACTATAGACTAGACTATAGACTAACTATAGACTAGACTATAGACTAGACTATAGACTAGACTATAGACTAGACTATAGACTAGACTATAGACTAGACTATAGACTAGACTAGACAATAGAGTAGATTATAGACTAGACTGCAGACTCCACTACAGACTGGATAATAGGCTGCACTATAAACTGGAGTATAGACTAGATTATATACTAGACTGTAGGCTAGATAACAGGCTAGACTACAGACTAACCTATAGACTATATTACAGACTAGACTGTAGTCTACACTCCTAGACTCTACTATAGACTAGACAACACTATTTCATGTTTACTCACCAATTATAAAATGTCTATCCATTCGTTCCGTGGGTACTGCAAACACCGTCCCATTCTCTTTGAAATGCGAAGCCAATTTATTACCAAACAATATATAAATATTACTATCACTCTTAAAATGCATTAGACACATGTGTTCCGAACGCACTGCATCCATAAAATCATTATAAACATTTAGATTTTCCGTTAAAATTTCCACCGAAGCAATTTGATCGCCCCAAGGCATTTGATAGAGTAAATGAGCGACTTTGGGGAAAATATCAGCACGTGTTGAGGGTATAGGCCAAATATAATAATCCAATTCTTTGATGACATCCTCCAGCATATTATAATAATCGAAATCAATAAATATGCCTACGGCATGGGTCAGGCATTGTTGTTGGTATTCCACCTCTTGCAATAGGAGATTCTCCACCAAATGATCATTGTCTATAGCTATAGCACGAATGCCTGCGAGAAAAAATAATTTGAAATAAAAACAAATTTGTATTTAACTTTAAATCTTTACCTATTTCAAAATTGGCCTCCAGTAGATTTGCTACATTCAAACGATTTATCACAAACATGGCTGATATTGTATCCTTCGTAATGACACTTATCATTATATCGCCCTCTATGATTTGTACCAAATCATTTTGAGTCTTTATAATTGTCTCCTCTTCTTCGGAATTTCCTATCACGGCTGTTATTCCGTGAATACAAATATCATTTATGCCGATTGTAGTCTCTTCTATGGCTGATTGTGTGGGTGGTGGTGGTGTCGTGGTAGTAGTTGTAGTGGTGGTCGTTGTCGCTTTAGCTTTTTCTAGAGCTATTGCTCGTGATTTTGTTATCTTTGGTAAATTGCGTATTCTTGTGTTTGTTGTAGTGGCTTCATCTCCATATGTGAGAGTTAAGAGACAGCAGACTAACAGGGCCAAAATGAGCAAAGCTGGAAAGTAGTGGATGAAGATTATGCAAAAATGTAGGCTAGACTTTAGACTAGACTATAGAATGGACTACAGACTAGAATATAGGTTAGAATATAGACTAAACTCTAGGCTATAGAATACACTAAGACTAGACCATAGATTAGACTATAGTATAGACTATAGAATAGATTATCAACTAGACTATAGATTAGGCTATAGACTAGAGTATAGACTAAACTAGAGAATATCGACTAGACATATTTATTAGACAATAAAATCGAACCTCGACTATAGAATTTAGACTATCGAATAAAATATAGAGTACAGGAATTTATTAGACTAAACTATTCACTAGAACTATAGACTAGGACTATAGACTAGACTATAGACTAGACTATAGACTAGGACTATAGACTAGACTATATACTCGACTATCGCACTAGGACGATAGACTAGACCCTATATATGACTATGACTAGCCTATAGACTAGACTATGACTATATACCAGACTAGACTATAGAACTCGACTACTAGACTTATACTATAGACTAGACTATAGACTAGACTAATGACTAGCCTATTAGTACTAGACTATAGACTAGACTGATCTGACTATACTATAGATTAGGGACTATAGACTAGACTATAGACTAGACTATAGACTCGACTATAGACTAGACTATAGACTAGACTATAGCCTAGACTATAGACTAGACTATAGACTAGACTATAGACTAGACTATAGACTAGACTATAGACTAGACTATAGACTAGACTATAGACTAGACCTAGGACTAGACTATAGACTAGACTATAGACTAGACTATAGACTAGACTATAGACTAGACTATAGACTAGACTATAGACTAGACTATAGACTGACTATAGACTAGACTATAGACTAGACTATAGACTAGGACTATAGAACTAGACATAGACTAGACTATAGACTAGACTATAGACTAGACTATAGACTAGACTATAGACTAGACTATAGACTAGACTATAGACTAGACTATAGACTAGACTATAGACTAGACTATAGACTAGACTATAGACTAGACTATAGACTAGACTATAGACTAGACTATAGACTAGACTATAGACTAGACTATAGACTAGACTATAGACTAGACTATAGACTAGACTATAGACTAGACTATAGACTAGACTATAGACTAGACTATAGACTAGACTATAGACTAGACTATAGACTAGACTATAGACTAGACATAGACTATAAGACTAGACTATAGACTAGACTATAGACTAGACTATAGACTAGACTATAGACTAGACTATAGACTATAGACTAGACTATAGACTAGACTATAGACTAGACTATAGACTAGACTATAGACTAGACTATAGACTAGACTATAGACTAGACTATAGACTAGACTATAGACTAGACTATGGACTAGGTTATAGACTAGACTATAGACTAGACTAGACTATAGACTAAACTATAGACTAGAGTATAGACTAGACTATAGACTAGACTAGACTATAGACTAAACTATAGACTAGACTATAGACTGGACTATAGACTAGACTATAAACTAGACAATAGACTAGACTACAGACTAGACTATAGACTAGACTATAGACTAGACTATAGACTAGACTATAGTTTAGACTATATACTAGACTATAGAGTAGACTATAGACTAGGCTATAGACTAGACTATATACTAGGCTATAGACTAGACTATAAACTAGATTATAGACTAGACAGTGAACTAAAATATTGACTATAAGTAGACTAGACTATAGTCCGAACTATTATAGACTAGACTATAGTTCTAGTCCAGATTAAAGTCAAACTATACTCTAGTACAAAGTCCAGATTATAGACTTGTCTATAGTTCAGATTGTACAAGAATATATATTAGACTAGACTGTAGCCTGGTCTATAGTCTAGACTATAGACTAGACCATAGTTCAAACTATTGACTAGTTTATAGACTAGACTATAGATCAGACTATATCTTAGTCCAGTTTATAGTACACACTATAGGCTGGTACATACTCAAGACTATAAACAGGTCTATAGTTTAGATTGCACTCTAGTCCAGACTAGAGTATACACTGTAATAAAGATTATAGATTAGCCCATAGTACAGATTATAGAATATACTATAGTCCAGATTATTGAATAGACCATATTCCAAGCTATAGATAAGACTATACTTCAAACTATAGATTAGACTATGGACTGGTATGGAGTCCACTTTGTAGACTAGAGTAGACGTGAATATTGTAAAGACTATAGACTGGAGTACACTTTGGATTTAAGACTAGACTGTTGTCCAGATTTCGCACTATGGTCTAGAATTTAGACTATTCTTGATTAGGCTATAGTTCGAACTAATCCTTGACTACAGTCTAACCTTAAATCTAGACTATAGTGAAGACTTTGGATTAGAGCATAGGCCAGACAGTTGAGACTATGGACTACACTAAAGTCAAGATATTAAACTAGACCATAGTTCAAACTACTGACCAAACCACAGCTCAGACTTTTGACTGGACCATAGGTTAGTATTTTTACTATATAGTAGACTGTGTTCCAGACTAGAGACTATACTATAGATCAGATACTTGACTATAGTCCATGCTAAAGACTGGGTATTAAACTAGCCCTGATAATGCTTTTGTTTTTCGTCACTTCTCACTTACCCTTTCGACCAAATATTTGTATTTTTCGACTCTTCCAAAACATGGCACTCCAAATTGAAGGAAAGCGTTATATTGCTGAGTTGGTTATAGAATTCGTAATTATGAAAATTTTAGCAAAATCTCTGTGGATTAATTTGCCAAATAATTTTAACTGAGAGTTTAAAGTGTTAATTTTTTGGAAGATTTCAGTGATAGCACTTTCCTTTTTTCGGAATTTCCGGTGAACTGACTAAATAGAATAAAAGGGGTTGTTTTATGATAGAAATATAGGTAACACTAACTAAATGAAAATAATATTAAAGTTTTTTTTGGTTTATTCCTTTTTTTATTTTTTTTTAGAGGAAAACTATTTTTGCTTGTTTTCTGTTCTTGTTTTGCACTTAGAGTTTTTTTAACGTTATTGTATTTTATTATTGTTTTGTTTTTCTAATCTTCTTAACGTCTTTAATTTAAAAATGTTGTTTATTTGTTTTTCTTCTTTTTATTTATTTTGCATACATTCTCAATAGCGGTTGTTGGCGCATAAATACTCTCATAATTGTTTTTCTTTTTAATATACAGGCCACAATTTTGTTTTGGTTTCCTTTATGTTTTCACGTTATTTTTTTAAAAGGAGGGTTTTCTTTAACTGTTTATTTTGTTTTCCGGTTTTACGATTTTTCTATTTTAAAGTTACTGCCAGAAGGTTTTTTTACACTTGTCTCATTTTAAAGCATAATTATTGTTTTTATTTAAGGTTTTCTTTACTTTTTTTATTTTATTGATTTTATATTTATTTCTTTTAAATGTTTTTCCTGATCTGTAAGTAGTTCGAATTGCTTTTGTTATTTTTCTAACACGTTTACTTTTTGTTTAATGAGTATTTTTTTTAAATTGTCATTTTCTGTGTTATTTCCATGTTATTTTGTGGGTTTAAGCAATCAATAATTTAAATCTGTGATTGATTGTGGGTTTTTTAAAGTAGTGTTTTGGTACCTATTTGGGTACTTTTTTTGTTTTAGATTATATCAGGGTGGGGCTTCTTGCACCTGTATAATTCAATTACTAGTTTTTTTATTAAACCAAGTTAAACAATATTTTTTAAAAATGCATTGCCTATTGACTTAAGGAAATGCGTACGTTTTTGTGTAGATTATTCTAGACTATAGACTAAACTATAGACTATACTATAGACTAGACTATAGACTAGACTATAGACTAGACTATAGTCTAGACTATAGACTAGACTATAGACTGGACTATAGACTAGACTGCAAGGGTATTCTCAGGAGAGGATAACGGGTGTAACGTCCCCGCGGACTCTAGTTGTAGCAGGTATGGAGAGCGTGCCAAAATGGTTACATGTGCTCTGCGAAGTCCTGTGACAGGGCGAGAGGATGCCGCCCTTTAATTAGGCATCCAGCCATAAGGATGCCCTCAAGAGAGGAGTAAAAAAGGAGACTGACGACTCCGTGGTGTTCCTAGTCCTCCGAAATGGAGCTGCTTGGCGATAACGACCCCGCCGAAAGGCATTAAGATCAAGCCCAGTACGGTCTTAATAATGGTATTTCTGGAACAATTGTTAGGAATCGATGAACTAATGGGCTGACAACTGTAGTATTCTGGAACCTGAGTACATAGAAGTGATATTCTATGGAAATGGCTTTTAGGTTAATGCTACAGTTGCCTCCGTCCCAATAAAACTTAGCAAGTCTCAAAGACTATAGACTAGACTATAGACTAGACTATAGACTAGACTATAGACTAGACTATAGACTAGACTATAGACTAGACTATAGACTAGACTATAGACTAGACTATAGACTAGACTATAGACTAGACTATAGACTAGACTATAGACTAGACTATAGACTAGACTATAGACTAGACTATAGACTAGACTATAGACTAGACTATAGACTAGACTATAGACTAGACTATAGACTAGACTATAGACTATACTATAGACTAGACTATAGACTAGACTATAGACTAGACTATTGACTAGAATATTGACTAGACTATAGACTAGAGTATAGACTAGACTATAGACTAGACTATAGATTAGACTATAGACTAGACTATAGACTAGACTATAGACTAGACTATAGACTAGACTATAGACTAGACTATAGACTAGACTATAGACTAGACTATAGACTAGACTATAGACTAGACTATAGACTAGACTATAGACTAGACTATAGACTAGACTAGACTAGACTACAGACTAGACTATAGACTAGACTATAGATTGTACTATATGTACACTAGACTATTTTCTTTAGTTGGTCCTGGTCGTGTAGATTTTTGTTAAATATTTTAATTAAAATCTTTTTTTTTGAGGTTCATTATTTATTTTAGATTAAAAATCTCTAAGTTGTAGCAATTGCTCAAACATAAATATTTGTTGTTATTAATTTTATTTAAATTTATTTTATATGCGAATCAATAACACTTTTAATTTTTTTGTTTTTTCAATTTAAAAAATCACATTTAATCAAATAAATATTTTCCCGTGAAACACAATACCCGAGTACAGTCGCTATAGTCATTGATAAATTTCAACTAATCAAATAAACGGCTGGTTTAAACATTTTTCACTAAAAATACGAACAAAAGAAAATCCACAATTAGTAGACAATTTGCGTAACATTGAAATAAATTTATATTTAAATTGTTTTTAACTGATATAAACGCTTCAGTAAACTTTTTTATTTAAATATGTATATCAGCAAAACCACTTGATATATAAAAATTGGTTAAAAATGTGTAATTAATTTGTATTAAATTTTTATTACAAAACTTCCAACTACTAACAACAAAATTAAAAAACCGTTCAAAACGTTGTTAACCACCGCAGTACCTTAGAAAAACTGAACTCAAACACAAATTAAAGACAATTAGAGGCAATAACAATTTTTTGTTTTTTTTTTCTTTTCTTAAAAAAAAAACATTTCTGCTATCGAACAGCTAATTACAAGAAGGGCTTAAAACGTTCAAAAACCACCCTTTCGGAAAAAATCAACAAAATTTCACTAGTTTTACCTTTACACCTGTAGTTTTGTAACCCATACAAAGAAATACAAATATTTCACTTTTATTTTTAACTGATAGTTAGACAGCAAAATTAGCCAGTTTGGTGTCTTTTTTTCATATTTACTATTTGCTTTGTGTACTACTGTTAGATTTTTTGTTTTATGTTTAGCCCCTTTTTTTTAGGCTTAAAAAATGTTGTTATGGTAACTGGGCTAAAAGTGAAATAGGTAAATAAAATGAAAAATAGTCAAGTGTATTACACTCAAATCAACCTGTCCATTTAAAACACCCTCTATCAACTATAGTCGCGTAATCGCTATAAGGGTTGTGGTCATACTATTGACTGCCAAATAAATAAAAACGGGAGCTTCGGGTGTCAAGTGATGCATGGGACATATGGTAAAACTAGTGAAATAGACTATCGACTAGTCTACAGTCTAGTCTATAGTCTAGTCTATAGTCTAGTCTATAGTCTAGTCTATAGTCTAGTCTATAGTCTAGTCTATAGTCTAGTCTATAGTCTAGTCTAGTCTAGTATAGTCTAGTCTATAGTCTAGTCTATAGTCTAGTCTATAGTCTAGTCTATAGTCTAGTCTATAGTCTAGTCTATAGTCTAGTCTATAGTCTAGTCTATAGTCTAGTCTATAGTCTAGTCTATAGTCTAGTCTATAGTCTAGTCTATAGTCTAGTCTATAGTCTAGTCTATAGTCTAGTCTATAGTCTAGTCTATAGTCTAGTCTATAGTCTAGTCTGTAGTCTAGTCTATTGTCTAGTCTATAGTCTAGTCTATAGTCTAGTCTATAGTCTAGTCTATAGTCTAGTCTATAGTCTAGTCTATAGTCTAGTCTATAGTCTAGTCTATAGTCTAGTCTATAGTCTAGTCTATAGCCTAGTCTATAGTCTAGTCTATAGTCTAGTCTATTAGTCTATAGTCTGCTATAGTCTAGTCCTATAGTCTAGTCTATAGTCTAGTCTATAGTCTAGTCTATAGTCTAAGTCTATAGTCTAGTCTATAGTCTAGTCTATAGTCTAGTCTATAGTCTAGTCTATAGTCTAGTCTATAGTCTAGTCTATAGTCTAGTCTATAGTCTAGTCTATAGTCTAGTCTATAGTCTAGTCTATAGTCCTAGTCTATAGTCTAGTCTATAGTCTAGTCTATAGTCTAGTCTATAGTCTAGTCTATAGTCTAGTCTATAGTCTAGTCTATAGTCTAGTCTATAGTCTAGTCTATAGTCTAGTCTATAGTCTAGTCTATAGTCTAGTCTATAGTCTAGTCTATAGTCTAGTCTATAGTCTAGTCTATAGTCTAGTCTATAGTCTAGTCTATAATCTATTCTATAGTCTAGTCTATAGTCTAGTCTATAGTCTAGTCTATAGTCTAGTCTATAGTCTAGTCTATAGTCTAGTCTATAGTCTAGTCTATAGTCTAGTCTATAGTCTAGTCTATAGTCTAGTCTATAGTCTAGTCTATAGTCTAGTCTATAGTCTAGTCTATAGTCTAGTCTATAGTCTAGTCTATAGTCTAGTCTATAGTCTAGTCTATAGTCTAGTCTATAGTCTAGTCTATAGTCTAGTCTATAGTCTAGTCTATAGTCTAGTCTATAGTCTAGTCTATAGTCTAGTCTATAGGCTAGTCTATAGTCTAGTCTATAGTCTAGTCTATAGTCTAGTCTATAGTCTAGTCTATAGTCTAGTCTATAGTCTAGTCTAGTCTATAGTCTAGTCTATAGTCTAGTCTATAGTCTAGTCTAAGTCTAGTTAAGTCTAGTCCTATAGTCTAGTCTATAGTCTAGTCTATAGTCTAGTCTATAGTCTAGTCTATAGTCTAGTCTATAGTCTAGTCTATAGTCTAGTCTATAGTCTAGTCTATAGTCTAGTCTATAGTCTAGTCTATAGTCTAGTCTATAGTCTAGTCTATAGTCTAGTCTATAGTCTAGTCTATAGTCTAGTCTATAGTCTAGTCTATAGTCTAGTCTATAGTCTAGTCTATAGTCTAGTCTATAGTCTAGTCTATAGTCTAGTCTATAGTCCTAGTCTATAGTCTAGTCTATAGTCTAGTCTATAGTCTAGTCTATAGTCTAGTCTATAGTCTAGTCTATAGTCCTAGTCTATAGTCTAGTCTATAGTCTAGCTAAGTCTAGTCGTCTATAGTCTAGTCTATAGTCTATTCTATAGTCTATAGACTAGACTATAGACTAGACTATAGACTAGACTATAGAATAGATTATAAACTAGAATATAGACTTGATTATAGACTAGACTATAGATTAGACTATAGACTAGACTATAACCTAGACTATAACCTAGACTATAACCTTGGCTATAGACTAGACTATAGACTTGACTTTAGAGTAGACTATAGTATACACCAGACTATAGACTGGCCTAGAGACTAGACTATAACCTAGACTATAGACTAGACCATAGACTAGACTAAAGACTAGACCATAGACTAGACTAAAGATTAGACTATAGACTAGACTATAACTTAGACTGTTACCTAGACTATAACCTTGGCTATAGACTAGCCTAGAGACTAGACTATAGACTAGACCATAGACTAGACTAAAGACTAGACTATAGACTAGACTATAGACTACACTATAGGCTAGACTATAGACTAGACCAGAGACTAGACTATAGACTAGACTAAACTATAGACTAGACTATAAATATTTTCTAATAACTTTAATAATTTTAATAAATTGAAATCCATAATTTAGTGAATTATAAACTTTAATTCACCCTTTTCCTCTGTCCTCTATTACTGTGTAAACAATAATTCATGATGTAATAAGTAATAACTTAGTGCATCCTGCAATAATTTAGTAACTTATGACATAAACCAAAAAATGTACAATAAATTTCATTATCATATTTTTATTTAAAAATATGTATTTAAAATAGATTTTAATTTTTTTGTTGTTGTTTAAACACACACAGAAAATTATAATTAATTTAATGAATTTGTTTACATTTTCATTGTTGTAGTTTAATTTTTTCATTTAGCAAAACAAAAAATTATATAAAACACACATTTATGACCTTTTTGACAAGAAAATAAACAAAGTTAGCAGCTAACCCCTTGACCTATGTATGATTTTATATTTAAATGCCTTTTTTATTGCAAATTGAGGCTCAGAGTTATTCCTGGTTTTAATTTCAACCTTTTATATATTTGGGGTGACTTATAGGACCTACAATATTTTTTTTGTTGCATGTTCATTAGATTGTTATGCTTTCTGGTATCATTTCTAAATGTGCGTACGTGTTACTACAATTATGTAAAACAGAAACATACTGAGTAAAATAGATAGAGAGCAAAAGAGAGCTACAAAATATGTCAATAAATGTTTTACACATGAGTGATTAATTTGTCAGAAAATTAGTTTTAAATTACTATTTTATTGGTAACAACAGCAATAATGTAAATGACCAGTTAGTTACCATTTCAGTTTATACACGAACGTAATGTGTAATAAAATATTTTAATTTTTTGTTATGTTTTTGAAAGAAGTGACCAATATTCGGTCGATGGCATAGGGTTATGTCGCAAAAGATGTTATATATATAAGGAAGTATTATGAGATGACTGGATTTTTATAATTTTTGTGCAAATATTTCTATAAAAAATGTAAAGATCGCAAATTTTTCTATAGAAAAATGTAAAGATCGCAAATTTTTTCTATAGAAAAATATGAAGACCTCAACTATTTCTATAGAAAAATATGAAGATCTCAAAATTTTTCTACAGAAAACTATGAAGATCTCAACTATTTCTTTAGATAAATATAGAGATAGCAACTATTTCTATATAAAAATATAAAGATCGCAACTTTTTCTATAGAAAACCGTGAAGATCGCAACAATTTCTATAGAAAATTATGAAGATCGCAAATTTTTCTATAGAAAAGCATGAAGATCCCTAATTTTTCTATAAAAAAGCATGAAGATCGCAAATTTTTCTATAGAACACTATGAAGATTGCAACTTTTTCTATAGAAAAATATGAAGATCGCAAATTTTTCTATAGAAAAATGTGAAGATCGCAAATTTTTCTATAGAAAAACATGAAGATCGCAAATTTTTCTATAGAAAAATATAAAGATCGTAAATTTTTCTATAGAAAAATATAAAGATCGCAAATTTTTATATTGAAAAATGTGAAGATCGCAAATTTTTCTATAAAAAAATATAAAGATCGCAAATTTTTCTATAGAATAATATAAAGATCGCAAATTTTTCTATAGAATAATATAAAGATCGCAAATTTTTCTATAGAAAAATATAAAGATCGCAAATTTTTCTATAGAAAAATATGAAGATTGCAAATTTTTCTATAGCAAAATATGAAGATTGCAAATTTTTCTATAGAAAAATATGAAGATCGCAAATTTTTCTATAGAAAAATATGAAGATAGCAAATTTTTCTATAGAAAAATATGAAGATCGCAAATTTTTGTATTGAAAAATATGAAGATTGCAAATTTTTCTATAGAAAAACATGAAGATTGCAAATTTTTCTATAGAAAAACATGAAGATCACAACTTTTTCTATAGAAAAATATGAAGATCGCAACTTTTTCTATAGAAAAATATAAAGATCGCAACTTTTTCTATAGAAAAATATAAAGATTGCAAATTTTTCTATAGAAAAATATGAAGATTGCAAATTTTTCTATAGAAAAATATAAAGATTGCAAATTTGTCTATAGAAAAATATGAAGATTGCAAATTTTTCTATAGAAAAATCGCAAATTTTTCTATAGAAAAATCTTTCTTTATGAATTATTATTTTTTTCCTCTTGTTAGGTCACCCTTTTCAAAAAATGCATTTTAAAGGTATTTAACTTAAAGGTCAATTATAGAAACCCTGTATAAATATTTGAAGGCTTGACTTTAAACGACATTTATTGAAATTTTTATTTTGTATTTAAGAAGACTTACACATGTGTTTAAATATTGCAATTTCCTAACAAATGTAAAGGGGCAAAAATTGTGAACTTGTTAATGACCTTTGTAAAATGAATGTTAAAGTAAATGTATAAATTGTTGTTATAAAAATGGGCCTCATTATACATGTACTACATAATTTTAAATAATTTTAATTAGTTTTCCTTTATGTTAACATCAAAAATCATTTAACCATCTGACATGTAGTTATTTTATAAGACCGCAATCTGTTTTATAAGCTCAATTAAAAACGTTCATAATCGAATGGTAAAATTACACAAAATTTTAGCAAATTTTCATTTTATTACACAATAAATCCACAGCATGTTTACGCAATATTAAACTCATTTGGGTATAGAAAACAAAATTAGTTTTATTAGAAATTTCGATGTAAAATAAAATTACACAAGTCACTGTGATTTTCAGCACTCACACACACAGATACATAACCTAACTCAATTTCAACACTTGGTCACATTTCATCGATAGTCCTTTGAAGGGAAAATTACCACGAAAAAAACAAGGTACTCTAGACAGATGCATTTGTATTATTACCAACTAATACTTTGATTGTTGAAAAACGCATTTCAGTTTTATTTTTCAACAGTCCCATGCTGCTCTTTATAAAGTTCTATATATAAACCACTTTCATGTTGACACCATCTTTTTTATCGCTGACGTTACATACTGCCGTTCAATTTATAGGCTTCAATATTTTTTGAGTGGACAAATAGTTGCTGCAAATCTAAAAATATGCAATAACCCATTGACGGAATCTCGTTATGGTCGATTGTGCGTGGTGACAGAATGTCCACCAGTAATAATTGGAAAATTTTGTGGCCTATACTTTTAGTTATTTATCTATGTATTTCTGTAATATAAAGTAGTTTCATTTTTTAGGCAATAGATATTTAATCAAATGGTTATTTGCAAAATATGTTTTTTTTTTACAACAAAGTCTAAAGAAAAACCTTAAGAGCGAAAATTTTTTTATAGAAAAATATGAAGATCGCAACTTTTTTTTTATAAAAAAATATAAAGATCGAAACTTTTTCTTTAGAAATCTATGAAGATCGCAACTTTTTCTATAAAAAAATATGAAGATCGCAACTTGTTCTATAGAAAAGTATCAAGATCGCAAATTTTTCTATAAAAAAATATGAAGATCGCAACTTTTTGTTTAAAAAAATATGAAGATCGCAACTTTTTCTATAAAAAATATGAAGATTGCAACTTTTCCTATAGAAAAATGTGCAGAGTCCAACTTTTTCTATAGAAAAATATGAAGATCGCAAATTTTTCTATAGAAAAATATGAAGATCGAAACTTTTTGTTTAAAAAAATATGAAGATCGCAACTTTTTCTATAAAAAATATGAAGATCGCAACTTTTCCTATAGAAAAATATGAAGATCGCAAATTTTTCTATAGAAAAATATGAAGATCGCAAATTTTTCTATAGAAAAATATGAAGATCGCAAATTTTTCTATAGAAAAATATGAAGATCGCAAATTTTTCTATAGAAAAATATGAAGATCGCAAATTTTTCTATAGAAAAATATGAAGATCGCAAATTTTTCAATAGAAAAATATGAAGATCGCAAATATTTCTATAGAAAAATATGAAGATGGCAAATTTTTCTATAAAAAATATGAAGATCGCAAATTTTTCTATAGAAAAATATATAGATCGTAATTTTTTCTATAGAAAAATATATAGATCGTAATTTTTTCTATAGAAAAATATATAGATCGTAATTTTTTCCATAGAAAAATATGAAGATGCCAACTTTTTCTATAGAAAAATATGAAGATGCCAACTTTTTCTATAGAAAAATATGAAGATGCCAACTTTTTCTATAGAAAAATATGAAGATTGCAACTTTTTTTATAGAAAAATATGAAGATTGCAAATTTTTCTATAGAAAAATATGAAGATCGCAAATTTTTCTATAGAAAAATATGAAGATCGCAAATTTTTCTATAGAAACTATGAAGATTGCAACTTTTTCTATTGGAAAATATGTTGATCGCAACTATTTCTATAGAAAAATGTGAACATTGTTAGGTTTTTAATAGAAAATCTTAAATTTTTCTATAGAAAAATGTGAAGATTGAAAAAGTATCAAATTGAAATCTACATATTTATTCAAAATGTTCCAATAAAACTATTACAAAATATATAAGAATCATGTAAAATATACAATTATATACATTTTGTGAAACAAATTCATCTCCTAAGAGTCCCTTGCTTTAGCCATCACCAGCTCCATTATTGCCTCGTTGAGTGACAGAACCTCTGGCAGTGGTGCTACCATATTTATGCGTATCATTTTCTCTATTTCTTGGTGTCATACCATCTGAACTTATTTCCCATTCATCTTCCTCTTCATCAGCTTCATCATCAACAAAAATATCTTTATTGATTTCAATTAACTCATCCGGCCGCATAATATTTCGATTTTGACTCATCCCTCCCTCACTGCTCTGTTCACATTTGAAATCATTAAATTGCATTTGTGTGCAGAATTTCTGTATATGTTCGAGCACTTCACGCATGCCTACTTCAGAGGATTTTCGTGAAATATCTTCAGATGATGTTTTATTTGGGTCTTTCATTTCACGTGATGGACTCTTTTTGCATTTCCTACTGCTACATGGACAAGAGGTTGTTGCCTTGGATTCACTTTCATTACGTTGCATTTTGGGAGTGCTGCTGCTTAATTTCGGTGCACTTTTACGTTTTTCTGGCTTTTTATTTTCGGTTATTTTCGGGGCAGTTGTTGTTGTAGTGGCAGCTGAAATCATTGTTTGATGTTGATAGAACATTTTATCATATTCGGATTTCATGCAGAGATAGCGGAAATGACGAGAATTTTCTTCGCCATAGTGAATGATTTCTGGAAAGGAAGCAAATAGTAAATTCTATAGAAAACTTATTTTCCAATGTGTGTGAAGATATATGAAGATCGCCAATTTTTCTTTAGAAAAATATGAAGACGGCTAATTTTTCCATAGAAAAATATGAAGACGGCAAATTTTTCTATAGAAAAATATGAAGACGGCAAATTTTTCTATAGAAAAATATGAAGACGGCAAATTTTTCTATGGAAAAATATGAAGACGGCAATTTTTTCTATAGAAAATTATGAAGACGGCAAATTTTTCTATAGAAAATTATGAAGACGGCAAATTTTTCTATAGAAAATTATGAAGACGGCAAATTTTTCTATAGAAAATCATGAAGACGGCAAATTTTTCTATAGAAAATCATGAAGACGGCAAATTTTTCTATAGAAAATTATGAAGACGGCAAATTTTTCTATAGAAAATTGTGAAGACGGCAAATTTTTCTATAGAAAATTGTGAAGACGGCAAAATTTTCTATAGAAAATTGTGAAGACGGCAAAATTTTCTATAGAAAATTGTGAAGACGGCAAAATTTTCTATAGAAAATTGTGAAGACGGCAAAATTTTCTATAGAAAATTGTGAAGACGGCAAAATTTTCTATAGAAAATTGTGAAGACGGCAAAATTTTCTATAGAAAATTTTGAAGACGGCAAAATTTTCTATAGAAAATTGTGAAGACGGCAAGCAAAATTTTCTATAGAAAATTGTGAAGACGGCAAGCAAAATTTTCTATAGAAAATTGTGAAGACGGCAAAATTTTCTATAGAAAATTGTGAAGACGGCAAAATTTTCTATAGAAAATTGTGAAGACGGCAACATTTTCTATAGAAAATTGTGAAGACGGCAAAATTTTCTATAGAAAATTGTGAAGACGGCAAAATTTTCTATAGAAAATTGTGAAGACGGCAAAATTTTCTATAGAAAATTGTGAAGACGGTAAAATTTTCTATAGAAAATTGTGAGGACGGCAAAATTTTCTATAGAAAATTGTGAAGACGGCAAAATTTTCTATAGAAAATTGTGAAGACGGCAAAATTTTCTATAGAAAATTGTGAAGACGGCAAAATTTTCTATAGAAAATTGTGAAGACGGCAAAATTTTCTATAGAAAATTGTGAAGACGGCAAAATTTTCTATAGAAAATTGTGAAGACGGCAAAATTTTCTATAGAAAATTGTGAAGACGGCAAAATTTTCTATAGAAAATTGTGAAGACGGCAAATTTTTCTATAGAAAAATATGAAGATCACAAATTTTTCTATAGAAAAATATGAAGACGGCTATTTTTTCTATAGAAAAATATGAAGACGGCAAATTTTTCTATAGAAAAATATGAAGATCACAAATTTTTCTATAGAGAAATATGAAGATCACAAAATTTTCTATAGAAAAATATGAAGATCACAAATTTTTCTATAGAAAAATATGAAAATCGCAAATTTTTCTATAAAAAATATGACGATGGCATACTTTTCTATAGAAAGATATGAAGATCGTTATTTTTTCTATAGAAAAATATGAAATCTCAAGTTTTTCTATAGAAAACTGTGAAGATCGCAAATTTTTTCATAGAAAACTGTGAGATCGCCAATTTCTGTAAAGTTTCCAAAGGTTCTATAGCAAATATGACGATCTCTCTTTTTTCTATATAAAAATGAGAAGATCTCATGTGAAGATTGTAAATTTTTCTATATAGAAGGTAGCAAATTAATACTCACTATTACTCAGTTCATTTTGCATTTGACTTAACAATGCATTAGTATTCTTAAGTTCGGCTGAAAAACGTTCTACCTTAGAGCACAATTCTTTAAAATTTCGGTTTAATAGTTCAGATATAGACTTCTGAAAATCAAATGTTTCATTCCTATAACATCTTCCATGCTATTTTCCAAACAACTTACCCCAATAGCACTTTCAACTGTTCGTCGTATCAGCTCAAAGAATTCATCAGTGTCGTCATCTTTATCCTCATCATGAACATTATGATGATGATTGTGATGCTGATGATGGTGATGTTGATGATGTTGTGGCACATTGTCTGCGGTAGCTGGTACCTCTTTGTAGTTGCAATAAGTTTTGTTGTCATATATATTAGTATTCACAGGTGAAATAAATGTTACTTTTTCACCTTTCATTGTTTGCATGGGGGATCCAACTTTTCCTTCATCCATTAGAATGATGTCTTTAACACAATGTTTTTCATTGGTTAGCTTATTGGAGTGTCTGGCACTTTTCCGTCTAAATGTTTCTTTTCCAGAATTTAGAGATTTTATGGCAGCGGTGTTACCTCCTAAGGTTGGAGTGGGTGGTGGTCCATTGTAATGTGTATTAGAGCTGATTATATAACCACAATCGCGCTCTGTAACACGTCCTGTCTTTTGAGCATTATTTGGCTGTGTGGCCGTGGTCACTATAGATTTAGGTGCATCAAATTTGCCGCCATAGAGTTCTTCAATTGTTTTACGTTGTCTTTGACGCATCATTTTTTCTTTCTTTAGCAATATGTATATTTTTTTAAAGCCAAAATTTAAAAAAAAAATTCTAATATTTTTATTGAAAATATATTTTTTTGAAACTAAAAGAAATTACTTTTCTGACTTTTTTCAAAAGGTAAATGAACAATTTTAATGACTTTTGAAATATTTTATTTGGTAGTGTTTTCTTACATGATTCAAAATTTTATATACGATCCACACATTTCTTATAGAAAAATATACGATTCTCATATTTTTCTATTGAAAAATATACGATCCTCATATTATTCTATATATATAAATATACGATCTTCATTTTCTTCTAAAATTGTTTGCGTACTTCATATCTTTCTATAGAAAAATTTGAGATCTTCATATTTTTCTATAGAATAATTTACGATATTAAGATTTTTCTCTAGAAAAATTTACGATATTAAGATTTTTCTATAGAAAAATTTACGATATTAAGATTTTTCTATAGAAAAATTTACGATATTAAGATTTTCCTATAGAAAAATTTACGATATTAAGATTTTTTTTACGATATTGAGATTTTTCTATAGAAAAATTTACGATGTTGAGATTTTTCTATAGAAAAATTTACGATATTAAGATTTTTCTATAGAAAAATTTACGATATTAAGATTTTTCTATTGAAAAATTTACGATATTAAGATTTTTCTATTGAAAAATTTACGATATTAAGATTTTTCTATAGAAAAATTTACGATATTGAGATTTTTCTATAGAAAAATTTACGATATTGAGATTTTTCTATAGAAAAATTTACGATATTAAGATTTAAGATATTAAGATTTTTCTATAGAAAAATTTACGATATTAAGATGTTTCTACAGAAAAATTTACGATATTGAGATTTTTCTATAGAAAAATTTACGATATTGAGATTTTTCTATAGAAAAATTTACGATATTGAGATTTTTCTATAGAAAAATTTACGATATTAAGATTTAAGATATTAAGATTTTTCTATAGAAAAATTTAAGATATTAAGATATTAAGATTTTTCTATAGAAAAATTTACGATATATAGATTTTTCTATAGAAAAATTTACGATATTAAGATTTTTCTATAGAAAAATTTACGATATTAAGATTTTTCTATTTACAATATTAAGATTTTTCGATATTAAGATTTTTCTATAGAAAAATTTACGATATTAAGATTTTTCTATAGAAAAATTTGCGATATTAAGATTTTTCTATAGAAAAATTTGCGATATTAAGATTTTTCTATAGAAAAATTTACGGTATTGAGATTTTTCTATAGAAAAATTTACAATATTAAGATTTTTCTATAGAAAAATTTACAATATTAAGATTTTTCTATAGAAAAATTTACAATATTAAGATTTTTCTATAGAAAAATTTACGATATTAAGATTTTTCTATAGAAAAATTTACGATATTAAGATTTTTCTATAGAAAAATTTACGATATTAAGATTTTTGTATAGAAAAACTTACGGTATTAGGATTTTTGTTTAGAAAAACTTACGATTTTGTTTATTTTCTATAGAAAAATTACAATATTAACAATTTCGATGTTGAAAGATTTCTTTTGAAAAATTTACAATATTTACAAATAATAAATTTTTCTTTTAAATAGAACTAAGAAAACAATAAAGTTGTAGTTGATTGAACTTCAAGAACACCTTTTTGTGTATTGTTAACTGTTAATTGCCATTTACTTTTGTGATTTAAAGGTATTTGAGTTCTGGGAATTTAATTCATTTAACAACTCGAAGTAAACTCTTCAGTGATGATAAAAGAACAATAAATTTCTAGCAAACACTTAACATTTTTACGAAAACTCATATTACTAAATCCATTTATAGGGCAAAGAAAATTCGTTACTAACTTATGAATTTATTCCCTCTATTATTATTATTTATCAATTGTAATAATGGTCGTAAATAAAATACATTTAAAGAAAAATTTGCCATACAAAACGATTTTATTATATTGACAACAATTTGTAGCTGTTAAACAGACAGTGAAGACAAAAAGCAAAAAACAAAATAAAAAATAGAAAAATTTACGATTTTACGATTTTACTGTAGAAAAAATTACGATATTAAATTTTTTGTATCGAAAAACTTACGATATTATGATTTTTGTATAGAAAAACTTACGATATTATGATTTTTGTATAGAAAAACTTATGATATTAAGATTTTTGTATAGAAACACTTACGATATTTAGATTTTTGTATAGAAAAATTTGCGATATTAAGATTTCTCTATAAAAGATTTTTCTTTAGAAAAATTTACGATATTAAGATTTTTCTATAGAAAAATTTACGATATTAAGATTTTTCTATAGAAAAATTTACGATATTAAGATTTTTCTATAGAAAAATTTACGATATTGAGATTTTTCTATAGAAAAATTTACGATATTAAGATTTTTCTATAGAAAAATTTACGATATTAAGATTTTTCTATAGAAAAATTTACGATATTAAGATTTTTCTATAGAAAAATTTACGATATTATGATTTTTCTATAGAAAAATTTACGATATTATGATTTTTCTATAGAAAAATTTACGATATTATGATTTTTCTATAGAAAAATTTACGATATTATGATTTTTCTATAGAAAAATTTACGATATTATGATTTTTCTATAGAAAAATTTACGATATTAAGATTTTTCTATAGAAAAATTTACGATATTAAGATTTTTCTATAGAAAAATTTACGATATTAAGATTTTTCTATAGAAAAATTTACGATATTAAGATTTTTCTATAGAAAAATTTACGATATTAAGATTTTTCTATAGAAAAATTTACGATATTAAGATTTTTCTATAGAAAAATTTACGATATTAAGATTTTTCTATAGAAAAATTTACGATATTTAGATATTTCTATAGAAAAATGTACGATATTAAGATATTTCTATAGAAAAATTTACGATAATAAGATTTTTCTATAGAAAAATTTACGATATTTAGATATTTCTATAGAAAAATGTACGATATTAAGATATTTCTATAGAAAAATTTACGATAATAAGATTTTTCTATAGAAAACTTTACGATATTAAGTTTTTTCTATAGAAAATTTTACGATATAAAGATTTTTCTATAGAAAATTTTACGATATAAAGATTTTTCTATAGAAAAATTTACGATATAAAGATATTTCTATAGAAAAACTTACGATATTGAGATTTTTCTATAGAAAATTTTACGATATAATGATTTTCCTATAGAAAAATTTACGATCTTAAGATTTTCCTATAGAAAAATTTACGATATTTTGTATAGAAGATGTTACGATATTAAGATTTTTCTTTAGATATATTTACGTGCATTTACGTTTGTCTATCGAAAAATGTACGATTTTAATATTTTTCTTTAGACAATTGACGATTTTAATATTTCTCTTTAGGTAACTTTAAGATTTTGATAATTTTTGTTTTTTAGAAAAATTTACTTTATTAATATTTTTTCATAGAAAAATTTACGGTTTTGATTATTTTTTAAAGAAAAAGGTTTTTTCTATCGAAAAAATAACGATATTAATAATTTCTATGTTTTAAGATTTCTGTAGAAAAATTTACTTTTAAACCAAAATAAGAAAACAATAAAGTTGTAGTTGATTGAACATCAATAACACCTTTTTGTGTATTGTTAACTGTTAATTGGCCTTTACATTTATGATTTAAAGGTATATGATTTCTGGGAATTTAATTCATTTAAAAACTTAAGGCAAACTCTTCAGTGATGATAAAAGAACAATAAATATCTAGCAAACACTTAACATTTTTACGAAAACTCATACTTTTCTTATTCACTAAATCCAAATTTAGGGCAAAGAAAATTCGTTACTAACATATGAATATATTCCCTCTATTATTATTTATCAATTGTATTAATGGCCGTTAATAAAATACAGTTTAAAGAAAATTTACCATACAAAATGATTTTATTATATTGACAACAATTTGTAGCTGTTAAACAGACAGTGATGACAAAAAGCTGAAAACAAAATAAACAAGTAAGAGTGCTATATTCGGCTGTGCCGAATCTTATATACCCTTCACCATAGTGTATTTAAAAATTCATTTTCCCGACTATATCATTATTATAGCAATAGCAAAACATAATGAACAACAACAACGCTAAACGATATAAACACACAAAAAACAAAATACACAAGGCAGTAAAACCAACAGACATCCAAACATATGAAATTCAATACACCAAGAAAACAAAAACAATATACACAAGGCAATGAAACACACAGCCATCCAAACATACGAAACGAAATACTCAAAAAACAAAAACAAAATACAAAGGCAATGAATAAGCAGTGTTGTTGTTGTTTATTTTTTATGAAATTTTCAGAGGTTGTCTCGGATTTTTGCTTATATCTCCGTTGTTTATGAACGGATTTTGCTGATTTTAAATAGGAAACTTCTCGAAAGCATGTCTGATAGAATTATTGAAGATTTGGATCCCGAAGATATCTGGGGTCTTCAGAAAACTGATTTCAACAGACAGACGGACAGACAGACAGAAAGACAGACAGACAGATAGACAGACAGACGGGCATGGCTTAATCGACTCCGCTATCTTTAAGGATTCAGAATATATATACTTTATGGGGTCGGAAAATTATATTTTTGAAATAACAAACGGAATGACAAACTTATATATACATACCCTTCTCACGAAGGTGAAGGGTATAAAACTAGAAAAATTTAGGATATTAAGATTTTTCTATAGAAAAATTTACGATATTAAGGTTTTTCTGTAGAAAAATTTATGATATTAAGATTTTTCTGTAGAAAAAATTACGATATTAAATTTTTTGTATAGAAAAACTTACGATATTATGATTTTTGTATAGAAAAATTTACGATATTATGATTTTTGTATCGAAAAACTTACGATATTATGATTTTTGTATAGAAAAACTTAAGATATTATGATTGTTGTATAGAAAAACTTACGATATTAAGATTTTTGTATAAAAAAACTTACGATATTTAGATTTTTGTATAGAAAAATTTGCGATATAGATTTCTCTATAGAAGATTTTTCTTTAGAGAAATTTACGATATTAAGATTTTTCTTTAGAGAAATTTACGATATTAAGATTTTTCTATAGAAA